GGCATATGAAGAGGCTGCGGGCCTGTACCTTCTCACCGTGTTGTAGCTTCCCGGCAGAAAGGGTTTGTGATTTCTTTTCAGATGCCAGTACCTAGGCCTCGGTCATTCTACAGTGACTGAGCACCTGTGGTGTGCCTGGCACGTAGCTCTTGCTGTTGGAGGAGGACACGCATGTAGAAAACAAAGGTTCAGATTCAGTGTGTCGAGGACTGCGCCGAGGATCCATGTTTTTCTGTTGTAGTGGTCTGCAGTGGGTTTTGAAGGTTGGTGAGGAGTTTGCCAAGAATATGGGCGGGAAGAGCTGGTCCTAGTGTAGGAAGAGTGAGGCTGCTTTTCCAAGTGAGAAGTGTAGCGACGCCACAGAACTCAGTGTGGAGGAGGCTGTGAGGCAAGCTGGAGGGATGCCTTGGCACTGGTCTGTGCCAGGACACAGAGGTAGCTGGTTCTCCAAAGAGGAACCGTCAGAGGCGTTGTACACTGAGGCAGCAGGCTTGTTTTCAGACTCATCCCGCGTTGTCGGGCAGGTGAGTAGCAGGGCTGGAGGCTAGGGCAGGACCTTTAGGAGTCTAGGGCAGGGGATTGGGCTTGAAATAACCGGCAGTGTGGGAAGGGACCATGGGAGAAGCATCCTAATAGCTCTCACTTCGGAGTTTAGTGATGGGCACCGTCATCTCCCACAGGACCGGAGCTAGTGTGGGCTGTACCATTGGATCAGTGTTTTTTTTTTGTTTTGTTTTGTTTTGTTTTGTTTTGTTTTGTTTTGTTTTTAAGGTAAGACGCCGTCTCATGTAGCCCAGGTTGGCCTCAAGCTCACTATGTAGTCAGAACTGGTCTTGAACTCTTTATCCTCTTGCCTGTGGTTCTCAAATGCTGGGGGTTTAGGTGTGCACATACTCCAACTAACAACATTCTTATCCCCTTCTCATACATACATGGTAGCAGCTAATACCTTGTCCTGTTTGCCTTAAGGTCTCTTAGCAGTTTTTCTGTTTCAAATACATCTACAACTGTATACTTAACACTCGGTGGGTTTTATAGATTTATTCCCCCACCTACACCTGTGTCAAATGTTTCTTGGGGCTGGAGAGATGGCCTGGTGGGTAGAGGACCTGAGTGCAAATCCCAGTATTCTGTGTACCCCATGTATACCTGTTACCCCAGCACTGACAGGTGGAGACAGGAGGATGGCTGGGGTTTGCTGGCTGCCAACCCAGCTCCAGGTTCAGTGAGAGACCCTGTCTCAAGGGAATATGGTAGAGAGTGACATCCTTCTCTGGCCTCTTGAGTGTGTGTGCACGGGCATGCACATCCTCACACATGTGTCCGTACAACACAAACACACACAAATTCTGTATCATCTTCTAGAACAGCAGCTGTGTACCCTTCCACCACTCTGGTGGAACACTCTAATTAGCTAACCCATCTCCACGGGGGGATAGTTAGTGTGCTTATAACAAGCTGCCAGGCAGTGGTGGCGCACGCCTTCAATCCCAGCACTACAAAGGCAGGTGGATCTTTGTGAGTTCGAGGCCAGCCAGGTCTACAGAGCAAGTTCCAGGACAGCCAGGGCTACACAGGGAAACCCTGTCTGGAAAAACAAAACAATCTGTAGTGACTATTGTAAAGCTGTTATTTTTATATACATCCAATAAATTATTTTTTGTTATTTGTTTGTTGATACAGAGTCTCACTATGTAGTTCTGCTTGGCCTGGAACTTTGGCCTAGAAAGATCAAAGTCTTTTTTCTAGTTTATTATTTAGATTTGTTTAATGTAATTATTATTTTAGAGGGTTTTTGTTTTGTTTTGTTTTGTTTTTTGGGAACAGGGTTTCTCTGTGTAACCCCGGCTGTCCTGGAACTCACTCTGTAGACCAGGCTGGCCTCGAACTCAGAGATCCACTTGCCTCTGCCTCCCGAGTGTTGGGATTAAAATCCTGTGCCACCACTGACTAGCATTTTAGAGATTATTATTTTAAGCTGGCCTGGAACTCAAAATCATCCTGCCTCAGCCTCAGCAAATTGTTGGGATTCCAAGCGCCCTACTTTTGATTGACGTGGTCGAATTCTCCAGAAGAGCTTCGCCAGTTTTGCTCCCTCGGGCTGTAGCTTTGTCTTGTGGTAGATCGCACCTCAGCAGAGTTCCAATTTACGTTACACCTGTGCCGAGGTTCCCTCTGGGACTCAGGGTTGGAGTTGTAGAAGCCAAGACTGCAGCCATTCCCCAGATGAGGACAAGAGCTCAGACCGGTGTGCTCGGTGCTCTGTTCCGCTCAGTCCACCCTCAGAGCGCCCCGTGCCGCTCAGTCCACCCTCAGAGCGCCCCGTTCCGCTCAGTTCACCCTCAGAGCGCCCCGTTCCGCTCAGTCCACCCCCATTCCTTTGCAGACAAGCACGAAACAAAGCTGAAGGGGGTCATCTACTTCCAGGCCATCGAGGAAGTGTACTATGACCACCTGCGCAGCGCAGCCAAGGTGAGGCAGCGGGGACCAGGGTGTGGCTGCGGGGACAGCCACCGGGAAGGGGTGTCGCGGCGTGTTCTGGGCGCAACGGCCTTGGGCCTGTCCTCTGCCCAGGCTCCGCTTCCTCCTCACTCTTTTTACCAGTGTTCTCTTCCTTTCTTCCTCTCCCCCTCCCAGAAGAGGCTTTTCCACTTCACTATGGTGACTGAGGTACCCCTAGCCCACACGCCTTTAACCAGAGCTACTCACATTAACAGCTCCTATGTCCTACGGCCCCTGACCCCTGACTCCCCCTTCCGTTCCCTAACGAGCTCCAGGCCAGAGAGAGGAGGGAGCAAGGAGCCCCTGTGGATTGGACCCCGCTTGTTGCCTTCCTCTCTGGCCCTGACAGCTAGTGTAGCCCGGAGGGAGGCGGACAGTACAGGCTGGAGGGGGTCGGTGGGCAAGTGCAGCACTAGATTGGAATTGATAAAAGGAGTGGTTGGAGGCTGAGCCAGCTAGCCTTATGCAAGCTGCCCTGTCTCTTGCCAGCCCTCAGACCCCACCTAACCCTGACCTCTGCTCCTCTAGGGTCTGGGCCAACCTCCTACATAGAGCCTTTTCCTGCCTCTTTTTGCCCTAGAAGAGAATCTGGTTCTCACTGGGACAACCCTTGTGACAGATTCTCTTGTATTCATTTTGGAACTGAGGCATGCGCCTTTTGGGGTTTCAAGGGTTTAGAGAGCCTAATACTGCCACGTGTTAGAACAAAAACCTGTGGACCCCTGGGGACTCGGCTCTGGCCTGTTTAAGACTCGGCCTTAGGCCAGGTGGTGGTGGCACACACCTTTAATCCCGGCACTTAGGAGGCAGAGATGGGTGGATTTCTATGAGTTGGAGGCCAGCCTGGTCTGCAGAGTTCCAGGACAGCCAGGGCTACACAAAGAAACCCTCTCTTGAACCCCTGTATTCTCCGCCCCCTCCAACCACCACCACCCCCCGGCCAAAAAAGGCTCGCTCAGTCATAAATTCAGGATTTCCTGGGACTTTGAGGAAAGAGGCAGACAAGAGGCAGGTGAACAGAATGTTCTGGACAATGGAGTTCCACCTTAGCACTTCCTGTCTTGCCTTGGCAGAGTCCGAATCCTGCCCTCACCTTCTGCGTGAAGACCCATGACCGGCTGTACTACATGGTGGCCCCATCTGCAGAGGCCATGCGCATCTGGATGGACGTCATCGTCACAGGAGCTGAGGGCTACACTCAGTTCATGAACTAACTACCATGCCCCTCCTGGGTCCCCAGGTCGGCCGCAGGACCCATGCCCTGCCACTTGCTGCTCGGCTTATCCCTGGCGACGGCGGCACACTGGGCACCGGGCCGCAGAGGCTCAGGATGTAGTCGAGTCCCCCCCAGGGCTTTTGTGCAAGAAGACAAATTGTTCTGTGAGGAGTTTGGTGCTTGAGGGTGGGGCTTGGGTCCCTAAAGGGCCGGCGGAGAGGAGAGGAAGAGGGAGAGGCTTTGTTGTGTGCTGGGGAGCCCAGAAGCTCGGGGTTCCCTCCTGGGTCTGGCAGGCCTGAAGAGGAGTCGCAGAGCTGGCCTCTCAACTCGGTCCTGGCACTCGCTCGCTCCAGCTTGTTTTCTCTTTGTAAAGGACAAATTATGGTACCAGAATCTGCCAAAGATCCCCTTCTCATCTCACCCCCCGTGCAGGGGCCTGGGGGGTGCTGAGCAGAGCCACGTGGTAGAGTTGGGGAACCACTCAGGCCTGCACTGCCCAGCCCCATTCTGCCTCCTCATTCTCCCACCTCTCCATACTTTCCACTACTTTGCTCAAGGACCAGAGAGACCTCAGGTGTCATCCTGGAGGTCCAGCCCCATCCTCGTGTTGCAGACCCATCACCATGGTCCCCATGGTGACTGCTCCATCACCATGGTTACACACTAATCGCCACGGCCACTCTGTGGCTCAGCCCACTGCTTCAGCTGTGGGCCACGTGAAGGTACGTGCCATCATCTCTCCACCCCAGGCCTGGGGGCGTGTCACGTGGCAGGAGGAAACCCCGCCCCCCTTGCTGCGTTGGTCTCAAGCCCCGCCCCCCCTGCTGCGTTGGTCTCAAGCCCCAGGTCCAGCCCTCACCTTCCACCGTGCCTTGCTTAGAGCCAGAAGGGATGGTGTTGGGGGATCCCAGACCAGAGGAACGAACGAACGGCGGCACTGAGGGAGAGGAAGCTAAGATCTGTCCTCCCAGTCTGACGGGATTAGTTCCCAGCGGGGAAGGAGGGTGGCTCGGGCCGTCCCGAAGGAAGCTTGAGCTGTGGGTGGGGAGGGCGGAAGCAGAGGCCCCGAGCTGTGGTACCCTCCCTCAGTTTCCCAAGGGCGATGGGAAAAGAGTGGGGATCACGTCTTCAGCTGGCTGGCTTCAGCCTTTGCGCCTTAACACTAAGCAACCCTCCCTGCCCTCCCCAGCACTGGACCCTCGGTTGCTGGGCCTGGCTGGGTGTTTTGCAGTATTTGTAAGCATTTCAGCAGAACAATAATAAAAAGCATTTTGACTATGTACGTGTGTGTGGAAGTCCAGGTTGTATGTGGTACCCTGTGGGGTGCTTCAGGCATTTGGATTCAGTCTTCTCGGGAGTAGGGCTTTCCACCCTAGTGCAGGCTACCGGAGGGAATCTGGTCCCCAGTCTTGACCTCCTGATCACTTCTTGTCCCGGTGCGCTGTGAACAGGACAGCTGGGAGGTGGGGGTGTGAGGCAGGAGAAGGGAAGTGTGGAGCCAGTGGAGGAAGTTCCCACAGGGAGGCCATTCTTTTCCTTGTGATCACCATGGCAGAAGGTTGACAAGAAGGGCAGCCACTAGGGAGTGGAGTCCCAGGGAAGCCAACTGGGTCCCTGAAGTCAGCTGGTCGCCATAGCGGTCCAGAAGCACCAGAGCCACTCCGTTGGTCCAACCAAATCCTTCCTGGAGAGAGGCCAGATCACTGAGGCCCCCAAGCCCTGTTTTGGGGATCCCCCCTCCCCAATGATTGTGGCCTCAGGAGCACAGATGATTACCATTCAGAATCTCCCCTCATAGGCTCGCTCACTGAGCGTCTCAGACCTAAGGGCACATACATGTTCTGGGGGACAGCAGATCCCAGGAGTTGCCTGGAATGGTGTTGACCAGCTTACACTAGTTGCTCACCTGAACTTCATACTCCCCTCCTCCACCTGGATGTCCACCGTTGCTCATGTCATACTAGGGACAAAAGCCTGAGTTAGAGGTGGGTACTGCGCCTAAGCCAACCACCCTAGCTAAAGGGACAACCCCTCCTGAAGGAACACAAGTCTGCACCAGGCTGATGCTCAGGCCCCTGCAGTGCCCAAGAACGGCCACTGGGGGCCGCACTGTGTCGGCTCTGCTGTCTCAAGCCTGGCAATGCCTGACACATTCATTGCATCCTGGAAGGAGACCCTGATGAGACAGGCATACCCCCAGCCAGCTGCTCACCTTCTCATACATTGCTGACGTTTGGGAGTAGACTTTGAAGTTGGTTCTGATCCAATTCTGGGCGAGCTGGAAAGCCACCTCCTGAGTCCGTGGGGAAGCTGACTTGGCCAAACCTAAGACCCCACCCCAGACAAGGCCTGAATATTCAGAGACCCCATCCTGGGCAGAACAGAAGCCTGGGCCTTTCTCTCCCCAAGGCAGGAAGGGGGTCTAGGCCCTCAGATCTCCTTTCTGGACCTATGGACTCACATGTTCTTAATCCGGGGCCTGGGATTGGAGGGAAGGAGAGGCAGGCTGGGCCTACCAGCTGCCCGTTTTCCTACCTCTGATGACCAGGTCCTGCAGGGGGGCCCAGGCATTGGGGAAATCCCACTGCTGGCCCGTGTTGCGAAGAGAAGTCGGGATCCCATTCTGGTAGGTCAAGATCTGGTTGTCCTAGAAGGTTCCAGGCACTAATGTGACTGTGGGTGGTGGCTGAAGCCAGAGCCAAGGACACTGGGCCCTCAGGGAAGGCAGATCCGCCCCTCCTGATCCTTCCCTTCCCGCCTCACGGCTGCTCCCAGTGGCCTCAGAGAGACTTGCGGGCTGAGACAGGCACCCCAGCAGGGAAGGGAGGGTCCTGCCTCCAGGATGCCAGACCCGCCCCCAGCCCCCTCACCTCCAGGTATTTCAGAGCCTTGTCAATGGCGCTAGGGTCTGAGAAGCAGCCAGCCCAGAGTGGGGTGAGGTTGGAGGGGTAAAACTCCAGGTTCTTCTTCCCTTTTTCCAAGTCATAGTCGAACCAGGCTCCCTTCTGCTCGTCCCACAGGACGGCCTCCATGGCGGCCAAGCGCTGGGACCGTAGGTTTCTGTACTTTGTGGCCTGGGCGTCGTTCCCTGTGTGGCACACCGCCGTTAGCCTCACCAGGCAGGAACCTGAGCACAGCCCTTGCGTCCCTGGCTTTAGATGTCTTTACTTTGCCCTCTTCCGTACTCGGTGCCCACACAAGCTAAGAATCCTAGGGACCAGGACGGTGATTCCCCGGTGCCCGCTAGAATCCATGGCTCCTTGAACTAATGGCCCTGCCCAGCTCACAGGGTCTCCCAAGTTCATCATTCTGACGACTCTTGCTCTGAAGGAGCTAAGGAAAGCCTTGGGGAATGGAGAGATCTGATGTATGCACCAGAGTGTCCCCTCACTGGCCCTAGAGGTCCTCCTAGAGCAAAAGGGACGGGGGTGTGAAGACAAGGGTGGGCTCCTGAGACCTTGTCTTCCGTCGTCAATGCCTCTGTCGAGGTGAAGGCTCCAACTGGCTGGGGAGCTCTCCCTCCAGTTCCATGGCCAAGGCTGGTGTAGGAGCCCACCCTGGACTGTCTCCTTTCACGGGGTACTCACCTAGTCTAGAGTAGAAGTGACTCATCAGTTCCTCTGCTTGGCACAGGAAAGCATTCAGGTCGACAGGTACCATTTTGCTGGTTCGGATGCTGCTAAGCAAATCAGGGCTTGGGCCTCCGACAAGCCAGCGTGAAGAGAAGTCCCAGCCAGACTCAGCCCCAGCCTTAAGCTCAGCCCACAGAGTCTCTCGGTCCCCTGTAAGGACAGAATAGCAACCCCAGGCCAGAACTGACTGGAGGGGCAAGCAGCCACAGATCGAAGCCAGAAGTGTGCGGAGGCTCAAGCCCCTCCCATCAGCCCTTCCTCCTCCTCCTCCTCTTCCTGTTTACCTTCTGACACAGTGTTCGCCAGCTCCTCATCCTTACTGTAGGACTCTGGCCTGGCGAAGAGGAGGACAACGGCTTGGCATCAGTAGGTACTAAGCCACTCGGCTCAACCGGAAGGCTCGTCATCTTAACTCAGCCCCCCGCCCCCCTGACACACACAGCATAAGGGGACCTAAGGCTCTCAGGGCCGCGTCCGATAAGCTTAGTCACCCCCTCCAGCTCTAGGTCCACAGAGATGCTCCCATCAGAGTGAGCAGACAAGGGGCGGATGGCAGGCCAGTTTCTCACCTGGGTCCCCCATAAGGGACATAGTAACGGTTCAAGGCATAGCTTTGCCCTCCTGAGCTCACAGAGACAGTTCTGTTCACAGTCCAGAAGTCCAGCTCCGAGGCTAGGGTTCCAATGTTCTCCCTGGGTGGGGCAAGCAACACCTCAGACCATGTACATAGCCACTGCCCTTGGCCCTGGGGAGTCTCCAGCACAGGATATGCCAGCAGGCCAGCATGGGCAGGGTACCCACTGCAGGAAGCTGACATCCTGGGTGTGAGTCACGTATAGGTCCATCATGAGAGTCAGGAGTGGGGGTTGGCTCCGTTGCAGGTAATACACACGTCCACCATTGGGGATATGTCCGTAGCTGCCAAGAGGGACTCTGCTTAGGTACTCCCTGGCCCAGCAGCAAGGCAAGCCCAGCTCCCTGCTTATGATTCTCTCTTACGTCTTCACCAGATCCAGAAAGTTCTGTAGCATGCCTTTCACCGTTGAGGCCATCTCGGAGAGAAGCAGACCTTCCATCACCCAGTAGGAATCCCTGATGGAAGGAGTAGGCACACATCACCCAGCCTTTCCCCTCTGCCCTTCACTCCCATGTTGGAGGGGGCTGGCCCTGGGTTCCCCACCGCATGGTTCTGCCAGCCTCCATGAGCCCCTAGCCTCTCGGGCGTGGACACTCACCAGTAGTAGAATTCGACGAAACGCCCTCCAGGTACAATAAAGGGGTGTTCTGAGTAGATCAGGGAGGACCTCTCGGGGTGGATGAGAAGTTCTGGCTTCATCTGGAGTCAAGAAAGAGGGGAGAGGGGAGCCCAGCATCAGCCTGAGGGTGGCGCCTGCGGAGGGTGGGGGCAGAGCGCCTGGCAGCCCTGGCTGGGGAGACTGGTTCTCTCCTCCCTTCTGCCATGCCGTGTAGCCCAGGCTAACTTCTGGGAGTCTTAGAGTCCTCACTCTGCACCTGCCAGCCTCTGGGGTCCTGGCTCAACTTGATGGTGTGCTGAAGCCCGGCCACTGCACATGGCATCAGGCAGGCGACTACTGGCGGTGTCCTTTGTGGTGATCCAGATGAGGCAATGCTAGTAGAGGTCTCCCCCCAACATCCCTGCTGCCACTTGAAGCCAAAGAAGGTGGGACACTCTCTCCCACTCCTTCTTGAATAATGAAACCCATGCTCTTTCCCCAGGGGCAGTTGAGGAGATCGGGAGTATCGAAGACCGGCATGGAGCCCCTCGGGTCCTTCTTCGGCCTGTTTCTGCCAGGTCTAATGTGTTATCAGGGAGCTCAACCTGCCTGGATCATTGTCAGCAAGCAGCAGAATGGGGGTCAGGTATGGGCCTACTGGACTGGCTGGTCCTGGGCAGTCTTAGGGCAGATCACCGGGCAGGGAAGAGAGGCCCTCAGCACTGGGCTGAACACAGGCTGGCCACATGCAGCCAAAATGACTATCCTTGGGACTGGGGCTATTCCTAAAGCTCAAGAAGTGGGGGGTGGGGGGGAGGCAGAGGGCATGAACCTCTGCCATGCACCTCCAGGCTGCAGGGGGCCAGCATTGGGCAGCCCACAGGTAGCAGGACTAGCTTGGTCGGCATGGATGGTTCTCTGGAGGGTGTGAGGGATTAGAAGCTTTCTAGAAGGATTCTACTTAGGGATCAGCGATGTGGGCTGTGTTCTTAGGAAATATCTGTGCTTTCGGGTATTGTGGGTCAACAGGCATGGCTCTGTCCCATCCCCGGAGCAGTTAGCTAGGCCATGAAGCAGGCCCAGGCCACTGATACCTTCTTTCCCAGCTTTTTCCAGATCTGGTGCAGTTCCTTCGCCCAGGCACGCAGCTTGGCATCTGAGACCTTTTGCAGGAACTGAGGGCTAGAAAAGATGACCCCACCGGGTTCATGGAGGCAGGCCCAAGAGAGGGACCCTGTCCCTGTCTTCTCTCCAGAGTGGTACCTGTCTGTCCAGTCTTCTGGGATCCAGGACTGCAGCTCCTGTCCCACAGGCTGGAAGTAACGCTGGACAAACTCCTGAAGCTGTTCCCTGGGGATACTGTGGTTGTGTGCCATGGCCAGCTCGCTGAATCTCTGCAGGACCTCCTCTGGAGAGCAGGGGACATCGAGGGGTCCGTGGGGTACCCCGAGACACATCCTGATCAGGGAAGCTTATGCTGCTCCCACATCTGCCTACTGTAGGTAGAAGGCAAGGTGGTTTTACCTGGAGACGTGGCCAGCGACATGTCCACAAAGTGCTTGTCGTCTTGGTAGAGCTTTGCCATCTGAACTTGGTGAAGGAGCTCCCCATGGCAGTAGATCTGGCTGCAGAGACAGTCGGGTGGAATGGTCAGTAAAGGGGGCTGGGGTGTGGGGGACAACGACAACAACGACAACGTCTTCCTCAGGTGGCCCTAGCTGTCCGACATCCAAATCAGAGACCTGCCTGCCCCTGCCTCCCCAGTGCTGGGATTAAAGCCATGTGTCTCTAGGCCTGGCTGTGGAAATGCCTTAATAAATCTTCCCCAAGTTTGGTGTGGTGGTGCACACCTTTAATCCCAGAACTTGGGAGGCAGAGGCAGGCAGATCTCTGAGTTCGAGGCCAGCCTGGTCTACAGAGGGAGATCCCAGGACAGATGGGGCTGCATAGAGAAGCCCTGTGAAAAGAAGGAGTAGGCTGTGCCCTTGAAACCCTTTCTATGATGCAATCATTTGTTCCCGAGCGCACAGATTGGGGATTCAGGGAGGTGCCTATTGCTTCTATGGGCAGGCAGCGTCCTTTCCCCGGGGCCATCTGTAGACAGCCCTGAAGAAGCTTGTCCTGTGAACAACTCTCTATGACCCACAGAAAGTTACTGGGCTTAGAAGTGTACACAGGGTCCTTCTGGAAGGCCATGTCCTCTGCTGATAGGTGGTTTGGCAGAAGGTAAGAACAGTTACTGGCATGGTCTATGCTGTTGTCCTCATGGTAATGGCAAAATTGAATGGTAAAAGTCCCTATGCCTAAAAGGAAGACATCAGCCATCAGTCTCTGGTCTCACACATGTACATGCAGAGGGGTATGTACACACACACACTTTCCTACACACACACACACACACACACACACACACACACACACACACACACACCTCCTTC